CCAGCGATCTTCATGGGTGAAAATCTACGTCCAGTTTAGGGTAAAACACTCCAGGGAATAAATTTTAAAACTATTATATAATGAGCATATATACTCTAACATGTACATAACACTTCCAGGAATAACGAGCGGCGAGGGCCGTTCAGCTGACACACGCGATCGATAATCGTCGGGTCAACTCGAAGTCGCACTCTGCGATATTACCTACCTACCGCGAATGGACTAACATCAACACCAGCAACAATAAGCTGTTCGTCAGTGGAGCTCGCAGCCAGATAACTGACGGCTACTACAGCGCTTTCGCTAAGCGACAAAGGTCTTCAAACCCTGGGGAGCGAACTCAAGATGAGCGACTCAAACGGTACAGTGGTGTTAATCAACAACGGAAGAAACTCCTTGAGACTCGGTCGACCATTGGCGAGGACACTAGGTATGTCGCCTGACGAGATAAAACCAACAACAACCGTCACAGGCTCGAAGTTACCCGACCTAGTACTGTACCGAGAGCTGTACATTCATCTCGGTCAGGTGAGCACAACGTACAACATTCAAGGGGGTCACCCTTCCACTATACTGAGAGCAGTACCGGTTAAAACGGAGAAATACAACGACGGAAGAACCGAGTCGTTTTCACCGGGGCAGTATAAGAGGTTGACTCAGGGCAACATACCTGAGCTGATAATATCGGTGTTAGATATAAATCATAATCCCGTCAATATAGGATACCTCAGCTTAACGCTTCACATAAAATGACCAGCGCACAAGGGCCCGGGGTGAAAAATTGCGTCAATGTGGGGATCTCCGACCTCGGGGACACACGTGGATTCGACGCTCCCGGAGTAGATGGTAAATTGTACGCCTTACAACTGAAAAACAACATTTACAAACGCGTTGAAGTCCCCTCCGGTGGAGCCCTAGGTGATATAGTAGATACCACAAGAGCGACAGTTAACACTCGGTACACCCTAGTCACCACCGGGGATGATAAATGGATAATATACCCATCGTTCGGTGGCAAACTGTTCGACTTAGACGATGTTGAGAGCACTACCGTCGCCCGAAACAAGCCATATACGCTCGTCTTCACCGAAGATGACAAGTGGGTGTTGTTACACTGACTGACTGACTGAGTTTGGTTTTACGCCGCTTTTAGCAATATTCCAGCAACATCACGGCGGGGGACACCAGAAATGGGCTTCACACATTGTACCCATGTGGGGATACGAACCCAGGTCTTCAGCGTGACGAGCCAACGCTTTAACCATTAGGCTACCCCACCGCCCCGGGTGTTGTTACAACGATAAAGACGACTGGTTTCTCAATATTAGGCTCGGCTCCCCCTACGTGTTCACGGATAACAAAGACAACCACCTAAACAAAGTCGTTAACAACGGAACCCTGCTCGTGGCTTACGTCCCGACTCAGAGACGTAGCGTAGCCATCAGCCCAGTCGCCAGTATGGCAGCCCACATGCTATCGAGTAAACCGGGAATACAAAACGTGACATTGCAGTTGGTGTCTGAATTTGAAGGCGTGGTCAGGATACTGGAGAGTCTACCGGCGAACTCAACACTGATCATCAAAGTCTACCTAGGGGAACCATCGGGGAATGAGGTCAAGATCGTGAAGGGGGTCAAATTCGGGTGGGTGAAACGACACCAGTATCACGTTTGCACAGTTTACGTGCGGGTGGGTGTCGGCTCTAACACCAGTCTGCAGGGTGTCACCGTGATAGTGGAAAACACGATATCACTAACCAAGATCTTCCTACCTGACAACATACACTTCATGGGGGTGAAGTTCACCCCTGAACTATTATCAGAAAACCAGTTGGAAACTATATCGTAGTAGTATTATAGCAATGACCAGTCATCGACCCAACACTACGCTTAATGACCTAGGGGACACGGAGGGATTCGATCAGCCTGGTGAGGAAGACACCTTACACCTCCTGCACTTGAAAGACAACGTGTATAGGCGGGTGTCGTTATCAGATTTTAAAGAGCCCAAATGGGTGATCAACGTGACCATCACCGCACCTTTTATCTCACTAGACATATATGTCTCTGAAATTAGGAACAACAGTACCTTGATCACGTCTTTCATTCCAACTGAAAGTATGATAGTTTCTAACTCCGAATATTTGCTTAGGGACACCCTGTTAATTTCATCCAAGCAGTCCCAGTTAAAAGCCACCCACCATGATACCATAGCAGGGGTTAGGGCTATGGCCCCAGAATCCACACTTATCGTAGAAGTCGCTCACAATGGTAAGTTTGATGATTCGGACGGCGTTGACCCACCCCCAAACTTGCAACTTTTACCCGGTGTAACAATACGTTGGGGTGACTCCTACGCATCAGATTTCGTATATTGCCGTATCGTTATACGATTGGGGGACTCCCAACAGGGATTACTACCCCCCATAATAAACGGCTATGGTGTTGATATAGACCAGAAGTTACCTATTGACCCTTCCCGTATCTACACATACGAGAATCTAAGTTTTATAAGCCTCAGGTACGTTGACCGACTATTAACTGAAACCCAATCAAAATATCTTTTGTAATATATATTATAGGATTGGGCTATACCCAGTCGTAGAGGAAGTAGCGAAGACCCTGGAAACCGTAGACGGGTTCCGTTTGAGACAGTTATGTGATGTGAAACGCCAACTAGAACAAGACCGCGACACGCGGAAAGCACTATGTAAAAAGTACCATAGAGCTTTCAATATCGTAGACGGGGCTGATACTGCCCTTATGGCAACCAGCATGGGGCTAGGGGCGGCAGGTGTTGGGTTGTTAGCTACCATCGTGGCTACCCCCGTAGTGCTAGGCATTGAAATAACCGCTGGGGTGGCAGGGGTGTTAGGGCTGGTGCTTAAGTTTGCATCCCGCAGACTGCATCGTAAGGCATTGAAACACGACGAGATCAGGGTTCTGGCTGAAGCAAAGCTGAACACAGTAAGTGAGCGTATTTCCACTGCACTCACTGACAGTAAGATCTCAGAGGAGGAATTTCGTTCAATCCTCTCTGAACTCACAAAATATAACAAAATGAAACAAGAGATTCGTTCAAAGTCTCGTAAGTCTGCTATCAGTGAGGCCGAGAAAAAAAAAATATATAGAACAAGGGGTGAAAAAAGCCCAGCAAGCCTTTATTACAAACACCAAAGAGATCATAGGCGATTCACATTAAACTGTTTCATCGAGGCCAACGTGGCATAGCGGCACAACAGTGTCATAGCGGCACGTTAGACGCAGCCCAGGATAGACCCGTTAAACCAACACATTTCAACCATGTACCCGGTAGCTCAGTCGGTTAAGTGGTGCGGCTAGGAGGTGTAACATTGGGCGTTCGCATCCCGCTAGCGTCTCAAACTTTTTCATAGTAGGGGTAATGGCAGCAAGAGCTAAGGGGCCGACCAAAGCCTTATTTGGGAAATAAGGCTTTGCAGAGGCTTTTGTTGAAAGTGATCCAAAACCCCCATTGTATATACTACTCATTTAATTTATTGTTACATCACTAATTAGGCTTGGATTAATTCCTGGCTTACATTTCTTTATTGTCATTTCCCCTTGTTAAAAGCCACCATTGTTATCCCATTATTCATGCCGGGATTAACAATCCCTGGCTCCCATTTGTCCATCCACCCTTCCAATTTAGTGCTAATTAAGTACTGGCTTGCCTTGTTATCTTATCACTGTTTGTTTATCACTGTACGTCTTTAGCTTTCTGTTTCCTAGTTTCTAGTCTCTTCATTCACCCGATGAAGAATAAGAATATATTCCGTAACATCGTGTTCCACAAATACAGAAGTTGACGTCCATAAATTCTTTTAAATACTTTTAGGTATTTTATGAGTCCTGTTTTATAAGCCCTGTTTTTCACAGGGCTAAGCTACACATTTGCCTACTCCCCATGTTACTCGTGAAGATCTGGGTTAGAATTTTGATCTTCAGCAACACATGCTTGTCGTAAAAGGTGACTAACGGGATCGGGTGGTCAGGCTCGCTGACTTGGTTGACAGTGTCATCGTAATCCAACTGCGTAGATTTTTTTGCTCATGATGTTGATCACAGTATTGTCTGGTCCAGACTCGATTATTAACAGACCGCCGCCATATAGCTGGAACATTGCCTAGTGCGGTGTTAAACAACAGACCAACCGAACCAACTCTTCGTCGGGCTTTATTATATCAGTGATGGAATTTTATACACCCTGTGCCTTTCATCTGGTCTTTTTATGTGTGCCTATTTCACACATATATATTTCTTCTATTATGTGAAAAAAGTATTGTTCTAAATGTATGTGCCATAGTCTCTCATACTTCTACAAGAATGGCTTGTGTACATACGTATATGTCTGTCTGTCCCCATATCCAAACTATCGACTTGAGACAGTGCCACAATTCATCGACCGACGTGGTAGGTGTGTTTAACAAAAACGTAATAAAATTATTACATGGGGAATAAAGCACTATATCATAAAACACCTGTTTATTGAAAATAATTGTGTTTAGATGAGAAGTTGGGTTGGGAAGTTGATTGCGTATAAGTTCAACTAAGTAAGTAGTGTAATGTATATTGTGACTTATTGTGCAGAACAGTAAAACTGTTGCTGATAAGCTAATAAGGAGTCTACTAAATAGATGAAAAGGGGTTAAATGTTAAAAAGTAGGGATGGGGAGGCAGGGTACGGTGTTTATGTTTTTGGTTGTGAAACTGCGGTGTGTGGCCTTGACATTGTGAGTGCAACTAAACTCACTTACTAACAAACTGCCAACACAACGTCCCACATATTTATTTATTTATTTATTTATTTATTTATTTATTTATTTATTTATTTATTTATTTATTTATTTATTTATTTATTTATTTATTTATTTATTTATTTATCATTCATTCAGTCAGTCATTTATAAGTGAAGATTTCAATTAATTTATCATATATATACAGACATGACGATTTCAGTTTCCTTATTGTGCCATCCTGAAGCTACTTCTTAGTTATGAGAGATGTTATTAGAATAAGGGTCTTGGATGGAGTCTTGATGCCCTGTGAATATTCTGTCCAGATGTCTTGTATCTGCTGGTTAAATGGCCTGGTCTTCCGCGATTGGTGGCGTGACAGTTGACCCCAGGCCAGCAACTGTGGTACCTGGGGTACATACAGGGCTTCTTTGTGAAGGAGGTTCACCAAAAGGAAGAACTGAAGGTTCCTTTTGCCGGCCGACTGGTTGACCTTCTTGTGCCATCCTGAAACAGAGAAATAAAAAGATTAGACTCACATAATATCAGAAATTGTTATATGGCAAACTGTAAACGCAACTTAGTGTTAAAATTTGGACAAAAAATTATATGGGAACTTACCTTCACAATCGTTGTTGGTCCTCACCGTCATGCCATACACGGACCAGCTGGTGATTGGCCAAACCGTAGCTATAGTCCGTTTGACTTCATTGTGGACCGATGAATTGCTCACTAACACAAAATGTAATGATTGCAACGAAACCAACTTTTGCACAGTCAAATGAAATCGACAGACCAACTCTGATGATTTGTCTCATAATTTTGGACTCCTGAATAAAAAGCTGTTTAACAAACGATCATTATTTTGTTGTTACGTTTCACTATTTCTTACGAGGGAGAAACACTTGCTGGTAGAACAGCTAGGTCATCAACAAGGGTGTGCAGTGCAATTTCAATTTCACACGTACACCTCGCACACATGGCTGTTCTACCAGCAAGTGGTCCTCCCTCGTAAGAAATAGCGAAAAGTGACAACAAAATAATGATCGTTTGTTAAACAACTTTTTTATTCGGGTGTCCAAAATTATCAGAAAAATCATTAGAGTTTGTCTGTCGATTTCATGTGACTGTGCAAAATTTGGTTTCGTTGCAATGATTAGATTTTGTGTTAGCGAGCAATTCATCGGTCCAAAATGAAGTCCAACGGACTATAGTAATACCAGGAATAATCTACAACAGACAGAATAGGTAACATATCTTCTACATGTAGGTTTTCAGTTGTCACAACACTCAGCGAATGTAATCAGCTGTTGAAAATAAACCGGGCTCAATCTTAAAAACTACGCTGCCGCCATATTGGCTACACTGGTCACGTGGCGAGCCGAGGCATACGCTAAGGGGCTTCTCGAGGAGTGACCACTCCCCGTTATATAGTCTCCCTGGTAATACGTATTTCGACTAAAATATACTATTACTGTGCATTAATTACCTCGTAACAGGTCATTCAAAACATAACAGCACAGAAATCATCACCATAAACTATTTAAACTGACTTTCAGATTTGTCTAAACTAAATGCATAGACAACATAAACTTCAATTTGAACATTTTTTGAATCATTGACACGTTCTTCATTATAAATTGCCCGTATCTCTCAACCAATATCCACGCACAAATACTTGGAAACAATGGAAGCTGAGAAATCCAACATAACATTGTATGTACTCAGTGTCCAAACTGATTCTCTGCACGCTTAGCGGAACAATCGTTGGAACCTTTATCATACATACAGTGCGTTTCACAATATATTACTGTTCATAAATATAACTAATAGGCAATATATTTCATCAGATGCTAGTACAAGCAGCCGCACATACACACGCATGCACGTCGTCATATGAGCGAAATATTCTCAAGCACGACGTAAAACCCAATTTCACCTCACCTCACCTCATCAGATGGATCGGGGCTGCTCCATATTAAATTCAGCCAAGCGACACACGTCACGCTTCGTTCGATATCAATATATCACGTTTGAAATTATTTCCAATATTTACACAATACAATTGTACTCACCGTCTAATTGATTTATACAATGGTGCTGGGATATGAAATATAACGTTCAGTGTGTCATTACCGGTTTTATATTTACATGGAAAGTGTGATTTAGAAGAAAACAACATTAACATTGTTTAGTCATTTCAATTGGAAAACAAAAAATTCTATCATATATTTCCCAATTGCTTCATCATGCAAGATATCGTGTCGTGACTTTCGGGACAGCACCGGGACACACTGGTGCCACCTAAACAAACAACCAGGACACCTTGGTGACTCCTAATCAAACCATTTGGACACCTTGGTGACTCCTAATCAGACCATTTGGACACCTTGTTGACACCTAAACAAACCATTTGGACACCTTGGTGACACCTAATCAAACCACTTGGACACCTTACTGACAATAATCAAAACCACCGGAACACCTTGATGACAATAATCAAACCATTTGGACACCTTGGTGACACCTAATCAAGCTAATAGGGACACCCTGGTGACACCTAAGCAAACCACTTGGACACCTTGGTGACAATAATCAAACACCGGGACATCTTGATGACAATAATCAAACCATTTGGACACCGTGGTGACACCTAATCAAACCATTTGGACACCTTGCTGACACCTAAACAAACCATTTGGACACCTTGGTGACACTTAATCAAACCATTTGGACACCTTGGTGACACTAAATCAAACCATTTGGACACCTTGCTGACACCTAATCAAACCACCGGGACACCTTGGTGACACCTAAACAAACCATTTGGACACTTTGGTGAAACCTTATCAAACCATTTGGACACTTTGGTGACACCTTATCAAACCATTTGGACACCTTGATGACAATAATCAAACAATTTGGACACCTTGGTGACACTTAATCAAGCTAATGGGGACACCTTGGTGACACCTAATATAACCATTTGGACACCTTGGTGACACTTAATAAAACCAATTGGACAGCTTGGTGACAACGTATCAAACCACCGGGACACCTTGGTGACACTTAATCAAACCATTTGGACACCTTATCAAACCATTTGGACACTTTGGTGACACCTTATCAAACCACCGGGACACCTTGATGACAATAATCAATCCATTTGGACACCTTGGTGACACTTAATCAAGCTAATAGGGACACCGTGGTGACACCTAATCAAACCATTTAGACACGTTGGTGACACCTAATCAAACCACCGGGACACTTTGGTGACACCTAAACAAACCATTTGGACACCTTGGTGACACCTTATCAAACCATTTGGAGACTTTGGTGACACCTTATCAAACCATTTGGACACCTTGATGACACTTAATCAAGCTAATAGGGATACCGTGGTGACACCTAATCAAACCATTTGGACACCTTGGCGTCACCTAAACAAACCATTTGGACACCTTGGTGACACCTAATCAAACCACCGGGACACCTTGGTGACACCTAAACAAACCATTTGGACACCTTGGTGACACCTTATCAAACCATTTGGACACTTTTGTGACACCTTATCAAACCATTTGGACACCTTGATGACAGTAATCAAACCATTTGGACACCTTGGTGACACTTAATCAAGCTAATAGGGACACCGTGGTGACACCTAATCAAAGCATTTCGACACCTTGGCGACACCTAAACAAACCATTTGGACACCTTGGTGACACTTAATCAAACCAATTGGACACCTTGGTGACAACGTATCATACCACCGGGACACCCTGGTGACACTTAATCAAACCATTTGGACACCTTGGTGAAACCTTATCAAACCATTTGGATACTTTGGTGACACCTTATCAAACCACCGGGACACCTTGATGACAATAATCAATCCATTTGGACACCTTGGTGACACTTAATCAAACCATTTGGACACTTTGGCGACACATAATCAAACCATTTGGACACCTTGGTGACACATAATCAAACTAAAATAGCATCAGCGGATAATCGCATTTGGTATGAAAAATGAAGTTTGAAAATAGAAGAAACGAAAATAAGTGTTGTTTTCTTCAAAACCACTCTTTCAGTAAGTATAGTAGTTTACCAGCCTAATTATGACCACTGAACATGATATTTCATATCACAACCTTAATTTGAATTAATATCATGGCGCAGACCATTTAATGTGCAAATAAGTGAAATACATAATATTAGACGTATTATTATAGAACGAGGCTAGCCAAGTGTCACGTGAATTTAATATGGAGGAGCACCAACCGATGCTCCTGTTAAATATATTGCCCACTACATTTATTCGTGAATAGGCCGCCATATAGCTGGAATATTACTGAGTACGGCGTAAAAACTAAACTCACTCACTCACTATTCGTGACTACTAATATACAGTTAAATGTATTGTGTATGATAAAAGTTTCAGTGATAGTTTCAGGGAGCGTGAGGATGTCTGTTGCAACCACTGAATACATATCATGTAATGAAATGTTCGATTTCTCACACAGGTGGGGCGGCAGGGTAGCTTAAAGTAAGGTCAGAAATGCTTGGAAAATGCTTTTTGGCGCGCAGTTGTTTGATAATGGTTGATATTTCAGATTCAAAGCTCAAATAATAATTCATACCACCTCGACCCAATACGGCATATGAGAAATCACGATGTTCCATTCCCTAATCATAATGATTACTCGTAAAATATCGACAAAATTCGAAAAATGTCCATGGTAGAAACACGTCTCAGTAACGAACTATACTGTGACCCACCTGGCAGACAGACAGGGTGACAGCGTTCATTTAAATTACATTTGTGACGGCATTCCATTGCTTGCTCGCTCCATTACTTTTTGGGAATGGAGCGATGTGTACCAGTTTCAAATTAAAGCCTTCAGTTTGTCATTTTGACATTTACTTTTGATAACAGAAATTTCCCAAGTTCTTTGAAGGTAATTGAAGCAGGGTAATATCCTCGTAACTCTCCATTCCTTAAAAAAATGGAGCCGAGGCCCCAGATAAATAGCACAACTTTATGCTCAACATTTCAATCAACATTTCTTAATGTAAATGGACAAGATATTTGTAACATTTGTAATAACAGCACATTGCATTCACTGAACGTCTTTTTCATTTAGCATTTTAGAAACATACACATAATTTTTCCATTGGACAATTTAGCTATATTTACATAAATACCACTATTTTATAGATACTATTTTTGTAACTGTTTGTATTTTGGGTGTATTGAAAACCAGCATGAACTAATATCCTATCACCATTAGATGTTGGAAAGAACAGTATCTGAACAATGACATTGTGACATGTTAACTGAAGACGGCAGTCGTTTTGTATAGCCCCATTGACTGCTTTCAATCAAAGTCGTCTGATAAATTCAGTAATTATTCACAAATTCACCAAACTGATTGATTTCATTCAAAGTATTCTTATAAATTGAGTAAATATTCGTGTTCGTTACACTCATTAAATATAGT